GGGCGTCATGGAAAATGATAAATACAAAATTCTTTGGAATATGCCCATGTACAGCCTCAGACGTATCCAGGCCATCAAACCTGATCTTATCCTTTTTTGATAATTCCAATGAAAACATTTATATCATTGAATCTTCTATCCCTTTTGACACTGATGTGATTGACAAGATTCAGGAAAAACGTGGCAAATATGCAGACCTCGATTTCGGAATGTCACGCTTGCATCACAAGTACCAAGTTGTCCGACTCCTCATTGTTCTCGGTGCCTTAGGTTTGGTACCTCCCAATCTGTTAACTGACATTGGGAGAGTACCCGGGTTTGCTGCCAGGAATACAGCCCTTCTGGCAATCTGGGTAATGCAGAAGGCTGCAGTGTTGGGGAGTCTTCACATCCTCCAAAATGTTCTGAGTGGGTTTGACTAGGCAGCGCTTCCTGGGAGAAGTCCTATTCGCTGTCTGGACTGCGTGTAGAGGGGGCAAGGGCCCTGAGCTGATGATGAGCCTAACCAGCCTGACTGTGCCAGGACCACCCAAACCCTCGTTGCTGCTTTCATTTATTTAAATTTGTACATAATAATTACCCAGATTACGAAAAAAAATGTATATGTGCATCTGAAAACAAATCATCATAAAAATTCAATTTAGCAAATCCTACTTTAACATCCTCCATACTCTCCATCTTCTTTCTGTGAGCGAAACCAAAATATCAATACCGTATCCCACCGATCTGTATAGCTAGGACGTGATATGAATATTAATTATGGATTACAAACCCGGCCTGCGACAGGCGGTATTAGATGTTGCTTTCTGTTGCTATGTTTAGGCCCTGGGTGACATTCCATTGCCTAGTTGTAGGTAGTAAATGCCTTGATGTCCTTGCAATCTCACTGTGTTTCAATATGGACGATGTACACATATCCACACATATGCCCTAAGAAAGATGTGTAAGTATCATCGTTATGTTTGAATTATTATTCTAACGGTGAAAGTAAGGCACTTTGGTAGCAACGCCTTGCCTACGAACACGACAGAACGTCTATCAATATCATACAACGATAGGATAATCACTGGTAAACTGGTGCGGCATATTTCCAAGGAGTGTAACAAGTAAACACCATCATGTCTTTAAGATGTGTTTGACGTTGGTTACTTAAGTTGTGTAGCCTAAATTTCAAATAATAGATTTTATTGCCTTGTGAATTACTTTATCCCAGATTGATCTGATTTTAGTGAGTGACTGAGTATGGTTTTACGCCGCCTTCAGCAATATTCCAGCAATATCTTGTCGTGGGAAACCAGGAATGGGCTTCACACTCAATGTACCCATGTGGGGAATGGAATCCTGGTCTGACGAGCAAACGCTTTAACCACTGTGCTACCCCACCGCCCCCTGCTTTAGCAAACGTCCTATTGGTGTAACTGACAACATGCACATCATAACTCTTGTATTTCGTTTTGGTAAAACTTTTCAATTCCAAAAACGTCGACATAGAAACAATTTTAGTTTCGTACGGGGCACGTTTAAATAGATAAATGTTTCAAAACTTTATGAATTAATTGAATTCTTTGATCAAATTTACAATTGCAATGGCTTGTGTTAAATGGCTTTGCACTAAATGTATGTTTCTTCAAAAACATATTATTTTTGTATGAATAGAACGCAATGAGAAAGAATGAGTAAACATGCACAATAATCCTCTTTTTAACATTGCCGTCGACAAATTATACATGCTGCATGTCTGCCCCCTGGACACACGTGGACATGACACAGGATAGCACAAAACTGCCTTATCTGATGACGGGCACGTGAGATAAATGTTGTGTTGTAGCATTACTTACAAAGAGGATTTCCTCATCTCAAGCGCGCCAGTCAGTCGGTTAAATGTTAAATGTCTGCGTTACAAGAAGCATGGCCAATACCACTCTTGATTCTCGTATCAATATTTGCCGTGAAGCTTTGAACCCGTATAAATTTTTCATACGTCGCAAATTCCTTTGAAAAATATCAACGTCAACGTTTCCAGGGCAACCAGTGGTGCGATTTCATCTATTTTCTTCTTGTCAATTGTCTTACTTGCTACCAGTTTATATATGATTCATCAAATGTCTGAACTTCAGTTATGATATGAAGGATATGAACTCGAACTGTATCTGTTTTTTCATTGTTTATAACCTGTGTACTTCTGGTACAGACTATTATGCTTTCATGTTAATTTTAGGTAGATTTCTTGACCTGGATGACGTTGTACAAAACAACGTTAAAATCGGCACCCTGTACCACAAACACTTACATACCATTCTTGTAGATATTTTGCTAAGCTCCATCGGTCTCTGTTAATCGTAACGTATGTGCTAAGTGCTGCATTGTAGCCCTTATATAGACTGGTTCCCGGATGTATTTACGGCTCGAAAACTTACTGATGTGTGGAGCGAGATTCTGTCCTTGCTCTAGCCTGGTGATTCTGTACTTACCGACAGCCCTGCTGAGATTGTCCTTGTGATAACCGCCCACACCTTTATTCAGTGTAGGGTAATGCATGTCACATGTGGATAATTTCCCTGCTTTTTAACTTCATCTTTTTGAAATACAAACAAATAAGCAAGTCTGGCATTTGCATTGTCTTGTCGCCATTAATCTTCATTTTTTCTGTGCGAACATTAAAACTTAATCATTTTGAAAATATTTAATTTATCTTGCAAGTGCAAAGTATTTCCAGTGTGTTTTCTGTGTATAAATGTTTATCATGAACGATATCATACTGAATAACAAAAATAATCTACATTTTCCTTCATTAAATATTGACGTCAATATGGTTAAACACGTCATTTATTACAACAGTCTTGTAACACAAAACAAATATGATATAACAATTTCAGTATATGTCCAACATATACGCGACCCGTGAAGATCCGGGGTAGAATAGGTCTTAAGCAACCCATGCTTGCCGTAACAGGCGACAATGCTTGTCGTAAGAGGCGACTAACGGGATTGGGTGGCCAGGCTCGCTGACTTGGTTGAAGAATGTCACCGTATCCCGATTGCGTAGATCGATGCTCATGATCATTGGGTTGTCTGGTCCAGACTCGATTATTTACAGGCCGCTGGGATATTGCTGACTGCGGTGTTAAACAATAAACAAACAAACAAAATATACACACATATTAGGTGTAATAAGGAAAACGTGACTTTTGTTTATTTGTTTAGGCCCGTCTGTTTCAAACTACAGATCACAAACACGAATATGAATATGATTCCGTTTGTGTCTGTTTTCAAACTGTTGCTAACAGAAACTCATTTTTATATTTTTATCACCAAATGTGGTAAACCACACATCAATATAAGAGACTTTAAATACCGACGTGACCGTACCATACCCAAACCTGATCAGACAGGATCACCAAAACATATATCTACATTTACATAATCCAGAAATAATTAATTATTTCACGAAAATATTTATTCTTCTATCTTTACATACGCAAAAGAAACAATAAAAAGGCGCTTCTTATGAATTTCCTTCTGCTTTTTAATGACACAATCAAGTGGAAGTAGTTCCCAGTGCCCAGATTCCTGATGTCTGCTGTTTCCACTAATTCCCTCAGAAAGTATCATTCAAAAGTAACAATAGATGACGGAATCACTGATTGTGACACGATGTACGCACGCAGTCGCTTTTGGGCATCAGGACGACAGCAAGATTAAATGGATTTTAACTGATATTTTCTAAATACACAACATATAAAGATATCTTATTACCCGTCACAAGACGTGAAACTGTATAAATACAGACTAATCCACTTGAAAATAACCGTGTACCTATTGATGATAAACACTCGTCTATACTACATGGTATTCATGCCCAAGTCATGTCATTGGATTATGATATAAACACATTGAACACCTACACGTTTCATTTAAACAACTCGCCGTGAATGGCTGGAAAATTGCTGATGCGGCGTAAAACAATATTCATTCATTCATTCATTCATTTAAACATGCATTATGTTATGATATAAACACATTGAACACCTACATGTTTCATTTAAACATGTATTATGTTATGATATAAACACATTGAACACCTACACGTTTCATTTAAACATGCATTATGTTATGATATAAACACATTGAACACCTACATGTTTCATTTAAACATGCATTATGTTATGATATAAGCACATTGAACAGCTACACGTTTCATTTAAACATGCATTATGTTATGATATAAGAGTTGGTAGACATAAACATGATTTAGGAACAGTACATTATTTCAACATGGTATTAACGTTAGAGCTGATTGTAAAGCATCATAGATCTGAATAAGAACAAGAAGACTAAATATACCTATTGGATATAACTTTCCTTCACGTCATCTCACCCTTGCTTTACAAAGTCCCACGTCAGTGTCATGCTAAGTAGAAATCATTGGCATGAACAAAACAAACGGAAGCGTCTAAGCTTTGTTTCCAGAACAACGCGAATCCCGAACGTGCTTGAATTCGTATTTGGCCTAAAGCTGTATCAAAGCTTTAGTTCGTACCCTACCGTTTACAACAAACAATATAAACGTGTGTATTCACCGCACCCATACTACAGATATTATTGAATCCCATACAGGTTCACAAACAAAGAGAACGGAAACAGTCTATGTATAACTTCGGCCACCTTCGGTGTTGTCCGTGGTGTGCTGCCATTCTGATTGTCGCCATTCGGCCTCGAGTGTTGTTATTACCATGGTGAGGTATCGTCGTTCGATCCCATCTATTGATTTCTCTGTCCCGTGCCACGGGTCTAAACAATATATGTCTCGCTTGCCTTCATGGAAAGATGGTTCACAATAAATATTTATCCTTTGATAAATTGGAACAGAACAAACGGTTCCAAGGGAACGGAATCGATATTCTCTTGTTTCTACGAACAGCATATTAAATTATTCAGGACATTTCCTGTACTGTAAGATGTTTAGTTGCATAGGTCACCAAATGTATTCTCTTCTTCAGGTTTGGTCGGAACTTTCAACACTGGATGTAGCAGTTTACAGCATGAAGAACTGACTAGCTTTAAGGTATTTACAGCGGATAGATTACGTACGCAAGTTACATTCGCTGTGTCCGGGTGCTGTCCCGTGCGGTGTCTAGCATAAAGATCAAGTCATTTCTGTCAAGATGGGTACGAAAAAGAGGGACGGATGTTGCAAAAAGTTTATGAAGTTCCTGTTCTCCCATGTTGGGTTATGTGCCATGGTTATATTGTACTGTGTTGCGGGAGGGTTTATCTTTGAGCATCTGGAGAAGAACAACGAGCAACAGATCTGCTATGAATCACGAAACGAGTATACACCGATGGAAAACAAAACTATCGACTCCGTCCTGAAGATTTTCTCCGACTATGGCTTTCCCAACGCCAACAATCGTGTCCTCATGGAGGTCCAGATCCGTAGTGTGCTGGAGACGTTCCGGGACAACACTCTCGCCATCGGCTACGACGGACGTGTCTGCTCCGACTACGGCCTTCCTGATGGCCCTACCTACAAGTGGTCATGGCCCGGGGCCCTCATGTTCTCCGTAACTGTCATATCAACCATTGGTGAGTCGGAATGTACTGATGTTAATAATGTGTCCAAATATTGTTTGGTCGATAGGTTGTTGAAAGCACTTATCTTCTATATGTAGTTATAGCGGAATATCCGGTATCAGGCATCACTTTCTGCAAACATCATTAGTTACAGAATGTATATGTACAAACCTACATAGCAAGACAAGGTAACATGTAACAAGTAGCATTCAAAATCAATAATAAATAGAGGTTATCACGCTAGTGCGTTTTTGGATGGTAAATATCATGTAATAGGAATAAAAATTGTGTTTTTTTAATTAGCGTAATTCCTTAAGTTTCCCTGTAAATGCGAATTAATATATTACGTCGCACGCTCGGTGTTAGGTCAGACAACTGGTAATATATTCCAACTGAAACTTCTTTTTAGACAGTACCTTAAATACTATATAGGCAAAAAGGAAATAGCGTACACATACGTTTTTAAGATGAAGATTCAAACAGAAATATAACTTTATCAGTGATCGTTTTTTCTTTCGCGGCAATCCATAGGTCCGCCCGCTAGAGTAATTGGCCTTCAACAAAAGGAAGATACTCTAATCTATGTGACGTCACGTTTGTTGAGAGTCTGCCTGGTCATATCGAATTGTCATACCGTTACGAAATGCTGCAAATGAAATGATACAAGGACAGATTTCGAACATTTTTTTCCAAATCCCACTATTTTATATTGGGGGAAAAGACCCAAAGCTACAGAAGTCTACAAACACAGACATGGAACCTGAAATCCGTGCGGTCCTCGCTAAACTGCTAAGCAATTAATATTTGAACTGTCGTCCACACTTGTTGCAGGCCCTAGCTAAGCCCGCCGACTTTCGGTATGTTAGACTATTATTTGGATAATGATGACAATTCCCCACCATGTTTGTAAACACTGAAAGCAGTACCTACCTTACCATGTATATTTGCATATTCATCCGTAAATGATCCCAAGGGGAACTATTTTTATCGGTTAACTATATCCATCCGAGGAACGTACCCATTTACATGATAAACTTATATTTGCTACGTTTGAAAAAAAGGTTCAATTACACCTCTATATATGTTTATGTGTTAATTCTGTCATCATTCAACGTAACAACACAAATTGACTGCAATATTACACCATTCAATCAAACTATATATAATAATATACTCATTAATAGATGAAGATATTAGATACTATGCACCTAACCAACTGCCATATAATTATTTCATTAATAGTAATATTTACACTACAAATTTAATGAATACACAGAATAGATATGTTTAGCAGTTGTTTTGAATGGTTGCGTATAGTTACATATCCATGTAGGTAATTTGGATATTTGTGATCAAATACTTTACAATGTTGTAATCTACACTCTCGGGATAACTTTGTGAATGTAAAGTGTGAAGACGGACTACATGTGCACATATTATGCCTGCCTACATCATATATATCATCTCCTTCTGCTTAGGGTTCGGTCACATCGCTCCGAAAACAGTGTGGGGCCGATTGGTGTGCATCGCCTACGCCGTTCTTGGAATCCCACTCATGCTGCTGTGTCTCGCCAACATCGGAGACGTCCTTGCAGACATCTTTCGCTTCATCTACGCCAAGATCTGCTGCTGCGGATGCTGCCGTCGCAAGAAGAGTCCCAGGACAAAAGTGGTCCAGATCAAACCGATGCAGCGAGGAGGGGATCATGACCCAGCTTGGAAGACTGATAAGTCTAACGAATTCTCTCGCCTCCCAACCAAGTCTCCGACGGGCAGTACTGACACCAATGGCAATGACAAGAGCAGACCCCCGTCCAAAACCAGCCGACCGGGGTCAAGGGTTCCAAGTCCCGTCGGCAAGGCTGTCAAGATTGTTCCTCTCGACCTGAAACACATGAACCGCCCGCCGCCAATGAAGAATGACCCTGTAGTGCTGGATGACGACAGCGATGACGATGACGATGATTTGGACGAGAAGAAGATCACTGTTCCACTCACCATCACAATGATCGTCATCGGAGGCTACATCTTCGGAGGGGCTGTGCTCTTTGGCCTGTGGGAAAGCTGGGATTGGCTTCAGTCTGCTTATTTCTGCTTCATCACTCTCAGCACCATCGGCTTTGGCGACGTCGTTCCTGGAACTGACTTTGAGAACCCTCAAGCGCAGGCACAACTAATTCTCGGCGCTATCTATGTCCTGTTCGGAATGGCGATCTTGTCCATGTGTTTCTCGCTCATGCAAGACGAGATCATTGCTAAATGCAAGTGGGTGGGTGAGAAGCTCGGCATCCTGGACAAAAACGACGACTAATACTCTGTATTCTTCTCTGTAAGCTCTACTGTAGCTGTGTACATCAGCTCTCGACAAAATCTCAGAACTTTTTTACATTGAAAACGGTACTCGGGACAGCAGCTTGATGGTCGCTATCTACAAGTCCTTATAATCATCGTAGGCTCAAAGGAAATCTCTGTGACTGAAGACGAAGTGAAGGATAATGAGTACCCGCAGAATGTCCGATGTGCCTCAAACTGTGGTCTAAGTGATTTGACAGAAAAGCATTTTTGTGATTGAAGATCTGTGGATTAGAAATCCAGAGATATGTACTGGAGTTCGCCCAAAGCCCCTTATCCGTCCATAATGTGTATAAAACCAGATGGAAGGAATTATAATTTATGTGAGCTGTCTCGGGCAAGTCCCCATACCCTGATCTTTCCTATCCCACTCATTATGCCACCATTTTACGGATAATAAAGGATTGTCACAAATCCTCTGACAATCGTCTATGGATTTGTAAAACTCATGCCAGAAACATCCTGGTACGTCCCTGTTTGTTTGATACCGAAAAGAACATTCATTAAATTTCCTTTTGATCGTTTTAGTATTTTAGTTTTTAGATCGAGAGTATATGAACTGGTTATACGCTGCAAAATTGCTAGGTGCCATTAGGGAAGGATCAGGATATGGTTTTATCCTTTCGTAAAAAGATGTTGTATTTGATTTTCATTTAAGTATTAGTTGTGTGTCCATTCACGAGATATGCATAATCAGATACTGGTTACTTTTTTGAATTTTGTGTGAAAGGTATATGAATAGTATAGTACGCCATGGCGGAAGTACACCAATTTATTTCACATTCTTGAAGACGCTATTCCTAATATCACTCTCGTTTCTTGGCAGCTGGATATTGTGAAAACAGTTTTACCCTGTTTCGTAGTGCGCATCACCTACAACCGATTGACGCTCTGTGATATATGCGAGCGCATCGAGATAAAACATCGGCATCACTAAAATAATTACGAAAAAATACAACAGATGAGTTCACAATTTTGTTACGACCGTAGGTCAAGTTTGTTTCGTCACATCGAAAATGTGTTTTTTTCCTTAAGTACATAATTGCAGGATCACAAAAGATTTCGCCTTCGTACTTGAAACCACGTCTTGCGTGAGTATACTGATATAATGATGCATTTAATAATCGATTTCGAATATATATCCGTGATGACAAAAGCTTTAACAATACAGCTTGGCGTCCTTAACCAACAGTGCCTCGAACCAACTGTGCTCGTTTCACTGTATGTATATTTAGATTGCAAAACTGCGCACCAAATATGCCATTATATGAAAAGATAAATTGTTATTAAATGGCTAATTCTTTTGAGGAAACGAAACATGTTTCGTATACTTTTATATTGTTTCAATGCTTAAAGACAAACGATTAATGCCTGTTAGATTATGGTCTGTAAGCTAAAGAGGTGGATTCTCTAATGATATAACAGAACATGCGTTTGCTAGCTGATACATATTTGACTTCGCTATGCTATTTTATGTACATATTATTTACATCGTAAGAGAGGTATATCTCCAAATCACTGTATGAGATTGTGGCATAATATATTTTTGCCTCTGTACATAAGTAATACATTTTTTTAAATCCTAAAAATACAGTCTTCAAAGAAAGAGATCTCTATTTTTTAATTGCAAATTCTTCATATATTTAGAAAGCCGTCCATATTGTAACGTTTTTCTTTGAACTTCGCTGCTTTGTACGTCCCTATGCACGTGCCATACGATTTTGAAGACTCGCCTCGTTTTGAAACTGCTGGAAAGGGAGAAAACTGCTTTCATTTTTGTGGTATATCGTGCTGAACGCTCATTATGGCAACTGACTGAAATGTTTTATAATCACGTTACCATGGAGATAACGGTATTATTGTTATTGTTAAAAAGTAGCCCACTGCACGTGAACAAGATGAACAAGTAACAAGACGATGCTGATAAAGTGGGGATGTAGTTTTATATGTACAGGTTACAAGTTTGTTATCGGTTTTTTTAAACTTAAGTATCTGAACTATATTCTATACATGTTTCGGGTTGTACTGTAAGTAGTCTTGTACAGAGTGATCATGTACCCTGTAAGTGTGTTCACGATGAGCTGTATTCTTGTATATTTCCACTGCTTATTGAACTACACTTCGCATTGATACTGGGTCGCAGACTGCTGATTTACTGTTAGTCGTTACACTCACAGTATGGTATTGTATTAGACGTCCCTCTCCTACTTATTTTATATTAGAACTGTTGTTTTTGACAGTGGGTTCATGACCAACCCATAAACATAAGATGTTTCCCACCCTAGCATTGTTATTTCTAGACGTAGTTACCAAAACAAGAAGTTTTTCATCAGAGTATAATGTGGTAATACTGATCTTATAACAAGAGAAAAGAGTAATTCTAAACCGGGATCTTCTCTAAGACGTTTTATTAATGATAATGTTAAATTCCGATTTCTGATATAAATGAAAAGTAAAAATTTTCACACAAAAATATGTACTTATATAAATATATTCCACGATTAGATTATTTAAGTGTGATCAGTATATTACTCAGTGTTTGTTGCATCTGTGAGACTCAAACCAAGCTGGTTTTATGCCTTTTCCACAAACTTCTTCTGTCTGTGATACGTGTGTACAAAATGTTACAATAAAGTTCATATAAAATTTCATGAGATGTCAAGTTGTTTTGGATGCCACTCCTTTCAAACATGTCTCCGTTTACTGTGACAAAGTGTTGTCTTCCCCTCTCAGCATAGTGTTTCAGAATTGCAGGGAACACTGTGACCTTGATCCAATCCGATGTCCGATGTAAATGTTACTTGAAATATATGTGTGTGGTAACCGTTTCAATAATCAATCACCGGCACATCAATGGGAACGATAATCACGAGATATAGCGTTACGTCTTTTTATTTTCTGTACAAAGTCTTGTTGCACAAATATGGGTATCAATACAAATTCATCATAAGCTGTTCCTTTGATTGCTCACTATATCAGAATACCATAGTGGTTTGCTGAATCATTAGTACATAAAGGCGAGTTAATATATCGTTAATACTTGGCTGACGATCTACATTGTATGTGCCACCAGGGATGTTGGCGACTTTCAGTTATGACAAAACCTTCAGGCTAGGCCAGCGGAACAGGACACAGTCGACCTGACACATAGAATGTCAATCCATTTTCTTCTTTATGTCGCCCGACGGTAAATATTTGTTAGAAATATATTTTTATTTAATGTCTTCAAATTTTCATGTTATATATTTCGAACGTCCATCCATTATTTGAGGAAAACAATCCGTTAGAAATTACGAAATAGGACTAATGCTACTTGTCTCCCAAATATACCACTGAAAGATACAATTTTAACCTCTGCCCTGTCGGGGGAAAAGTATCAGTATCATTTCATTTTAGTTAGTTGAGACCTACGATTAAGGCTACATGAGGTCGCCTGCAATGGACGACATCACACTCTATGACTATACGGACTTCGGCACAAACAGATAAACACAAGTTTACGGTGTCTTTGACGCTGGTCATGAGTTAAAAATTTGGATAAATTCATCCCCACACGTTCATCACTCAATAAACAGAGTATACTTCTCATTTAGACACGAAAAGTTTTGTTCTGGCGACATGATCTTTTAGTGATCTTGAAATTCAATACAGTTTATGCTTTTTTGTGAAACACATACTTGTAAACCAGATGTAATATTCAAATGAGATGCTAACACTACACCCTACTTCGTCGGAAAGAGTGGTCGTCTTAACATTCACGAACAAATGCAAATATATGTTAACGTCAACTCCAGCGAATAATCAATTCGATTAAGATTCCGTTGGGCGTAAGACAAAAGAACAATGGTGTAGGAGATTGATTTGAAGAGAAAGAAGTGTGTGCAACGTTTTCAACATGTCAAACCTTTCTTTATGTCTATCGACATCTGTAAATCATCGGGACATGATCCTAATAGGTCAATATATATGATCATATATTTACTATTGCCGGGATGAATTGAAACGTTGGGGTACAAAGAGAAAGAAAAGTTTTGCTCATTAAAATATCTTAGAAATATTTATATTATTATATAAAGAAATATAATTAGAAATAAATAATATATTTGTATGAACAAACGCAGCGCAGCTATTTGGTATCTGCGCAAACTGTATAGCTTCGAATAAGTTCTTATTTCATAAACACTTCACACAATTTTGTCTATCAAATGCATCAGTGCGCTTCTATGTCCACGTTTTGCACTAATATTGTGAAGAAGATTCCGACATGGTTTGCAAACAAGGGCAATTGATAACATCTTTCTACATAATACAATTCTGAGGCAATATTCAACAGAACTTAATTCCTTTTCAAGTTTCTTTCTCATCTCTCTCAGCATACAGATAAATGTATCAATATATTAGTGTGAACGAATATGGGTTAGTCTCACAAAATTAAATGATTGCAGGACATGGTTTGGTGTTATCTGAAAGTTTAGTGTATACAACATACAGTTTATGGTTTAGTGTGTACGGGACACGACCTGGTATAACCAGCACAAGTTTAAGTTGCACACGAGCTGGTGTCGACGGCACAAGGTTTAGAGGAACACGAGCTACAGTCCGTTTGACTCCAAATGAGAACGATGAATTGCAAAATAACTCGAAATCCAGAAAAGTGTATGAAACATCAATACGGTACTTGACCATGAATACCCTGTACTCAACAAAATCTGAATTTTGTTTATTTCAAGAAACTATTATGTAATGTTGTATAGAAATGTTTACATGACACGTAGGGGGGACAAACCGTGGAAGGCACAGCGCAAGCACGCATGTACTGCACGTTCTGTGGTAGGGGAAATGACAGAGCGTTAAGAGGGGCCGTCTCATGATAATTTCAGTCGCAATCTGACTCGCTCATGCCATAGATCTCGTCGTCGGAACTGCTGGTGCCTGAACCGACTGCCACTATTATAGGTCGGACTGTTGCTGGCCGTAGTCCATCTCGTGACCAATAACGTGGCTCTATCTCGTCAACGGCTGTGGCCACACAACGCCTCCATGTTTCTACTGTTACCCGACCAAGGGTTTCCTTTACGAGTTGTTCAACGTCTCGTAATTTGAACGTTGTGTTCGATCGTCCAACGTCACCCTTGACGATGCCCCATACCAACTCGATTGGATTCAGGTCGCAGTGATAAGGTGGCAGTCGTAAGACAGCGTTACCCTGACCCTTGATGTAACTGTCAACTTTATACACTGGTTCAGGTTTCATAGTTTTGATGATTTCATAGAGCTGTGGTTTCGTCGCTCGAGAAGGAAAGGTAATGTTCCCCCGTTGCAGCTAAGTAACCATGTCTCCTTTACGGTTATTAGAGGTTGGAGTCTTGCTTTCTGGATCCTGCACACTATGATACGGTGCATTGTCCATGACAATGAGAGACTTGGTAGGCAAAGCAGGGACTAATTTATCTTTCACCCACTCCAGAAATACTTTGCCGTTCATTTCTGTGTGGTAGTCCCTGTTGTCTTTGGCCTTGGCTCTAAGACGAGGTCACAGTCTGGGAGAAAACCCTGACTAGCAGAACCAACATGGAGAACTATGAGTCTTTCACCCTTTCCCATTGGTAACTTTCTACCAGACTCCTTACAGTCACCATTGGGTACCCACTGACTGCTGGCTGTGTGTGACGCATTTACCCATGTCTCATCTAAGAAGACGGGCTCACATCCTTCTTCACGTTTCTGCTTGATGGTACGAAGGTAATGATTTCGGAGACGAACAATGTCAGACCGTTCACACAACACAGCTCTATTTTGTCCAGTTATCTTTTTGTATTTGTAACCAAATGTATGCAACAGCTGCCATAGTTTGTACTTTGTAACACGTAAATCATGGTCAGTTTCAAGGTGTTTCTTCAAAATTCTTAGGGACAGGTACTTATTTTCTGAGTGCAGTTTAACAATTGCACGTCTGACTTGATCCCTCTGAAAACTGTCTAATTTATCAACCTTGCGTGGTTTTGACATGTTCCCTACCTCCTTGGCCTGACTATTTGTATCTCGTCGACTAACAACATTTTTAAAATTCTGAGGGGACATACCAAGAGCTTTTGAAGCTCGTTTCAAGAATTTATTAATTGCATAAAAAGGCTTTGCTCTTTCTGCTTCACTTCTAAAGAAATCATACACATTCAACATCAACTGTTTAACATCTGCTGAGTAGCGCATCTTGTCATTGAATGAACACGGTCACTGTGTAGCACGTGCAGACCGTGCTTGCGCTGTTCCTTCCACGGTGTGTCCCCCTACGTGTCATGTACACATTTCTATACAAAATTACATGATAGTTTCTTAAAGAACTTCATCCGTCATGGGTCTTAAATTAAACAAAATTCAGATTTTGTTGGGTACAGGGTATTCATGGTCAAGTACCGTATTGATGTTTCATACACTTTTCTGGATTTCGAGTTATTTTGCAATTCATCGTTCTCATTTGGAGTCAAACGGACTGTAGTGTGAACGGCACAAGGTTTAGTGGAACACGAGCTAGTGTGAACGGCACAAGTTTTAGGGGTACACGAGCTGATTTGGACGGCACTAGGTTAAGTGAAACACGACCTGGTATAGACGGCACAAGGTTTACTGTGTGAGACTCACGATCTCGTATGGACGGCTCAACGTTTAGTGTATACGGAACATGATCTGATGTGGACCCTACAAGGTTTGATGTCACACGATCTGGTGTGGACCCTACAAGGTTTGGTGTCACACGATCTGGTGTGGACCCTACAAGGTTTGGTGTCACACGATCTGGTGTGGACCCTACAAGGTTTGAGGTCACACGATCTGGTGTGGACCCTACAAGGTTTGGTGTCACACGATCTGGTGTGGACCCTACAAGGTTTAATGTCACACGATCTGGTGTGGACCCTACAGGGTTTGGTGTCACACGATCTGGTGTGGACCCTACAAGGTTTGATGTCACACGATCTGGTGTGGACCCTACAGGGTTTGGTGTCACACGATCTGGTGTGGACCCTACAAGGTTTGATGTCACACGATCTGGTGTGGACCCTACAAGGTTTGGTGTCACACGATCTGGTGTGGACCCTACAAGGTTTGGTGTCACACGATCTGGTGTGGACCCTACAAGGTTTGATGTCAAACGATCTGGTGTGGACCCTACAAGGTTTGGTGTCACACGATCTGGTGTGGACCCTACAAGGTTCGAGGTCACACGATCTGGTGTGGACCCTACAAGGTTTGGTGTCACACGATCTGGTGTGGACAAGGTTTACTGTGTGAGACTCACAATCTGGTGTGGACGCCACAAGGTTCAATGCATGCGGCTCACAGATCTGTTGTGTTTCAATTTAATCATAGATAGACTAATTTTTTGTTTATTTGCTCATCGTACCAAATTAGTACGACGAACGTTAGCTGTCAAGATTTTGCTATTGTGTTTACGCCAACAACTCATTATCGCCCGCGTCAATTGACGGATATGTAAAAATGAAATTAAATGGGAGTTTACAAATGTACCGAACGACAAGTTTGTTTGAAGGCAATTATTTAAGTGGGTAAGCCAAATCGTTTTTCGAAACAATAAGACGTTAAAAAAAGTCGGACTTACACCACCCATGTTTAAATATCACTACATTAAATATTTACATTAATAGCCAATCGATACAAAAGCTAAACATCTACTTCGAGGTTCTGGTAAAATAATCCTCCATGTTCACCGTGGATTTTCAAAAGAGATGCATTAAACATGAGAGCACCTACACACTGTCGTTTACAAATACAAAAGTTCAATATGCATACAAAAGCATATTGATTTTTGGCGTTAGTTCCAACAGAAAGGCAAGTATACGCGGATCGAGCCCACGCTTGAGGACGCGCTTACCATAGGTACGTAATTTTTAATTGCCTTGAATTGGAAAAGGCCTTGAATAATTCAAAGACAGTTATGCGTCGCTATGACAACACGTGCTGAAGAAAAATCAATATCTACAGCATGGGACATCGCTGAATACCCGGATCTACGAACAGTTAGAGCCCGGATGTGACACGAATCTCAAACGACAATTGGAGACTCACGCGTCATGACATGACAAAAGCTTATATGGTTAATAATATATCACGATTAATGTAACTTGGTAGTGAAGCAACTCATTATCAATGGTGTGTTTTGGTATATATGTTGGTTATTTATTATTGGGTACCTATAAAACATGTATACGACTTATAGAAAAGCTGGCAAGCGATGGGGTTTCACTACCTGATTTCACTTTGTGTTTCAACCAAATTAGTTCTGTATTCCATTAGGTTTTCTCTTACAACGACAATCCATTCACTAAAATGACAATCCTTTGCAAAAGTAAACCCTTGTTTAGCTTCAATACAAACAAAGGCCCAATACATGATAACACTCAACGGGAATGTTTCAGTAAACATGCCACAATGTGTTGCTACGTTCAGGGGGGGAAATCAAGTGTTCACCATTGTGTCGTCATCATCATCAAATATTTAAAACCCTGACATAAAACACGCCATAACACGCTGATGAAAGACTAGAAATCGTTGTACAAACACACCCACATTGATAGCTAGATAGATAGATAGATAGATAGATAGATAGACCGATGTAGGGTTGTAGATATACAGCTACATTGATGTAGGGTTGTATATATACAGGTACACTGATGTATGGTTGTATTTATACAGCTACACTGATGTAGGGTTGTATTTATACAGCTACACTGATGTAGGGTTGTATTTATACAGGTACACTGATGTAGGGTTGTATATATACAGCTACACTGATGTAGGGTTGTATTTATACAGCTACACTGATGTAGGGTTGTAGATATATACAGCTACACTGATGTAGGGTTGTATTTATACAGCTACACTGATGTAGGGTTGTATTTATACAGCTACACTGATGTAGGGTTGTATATATACAGCTACACTGATGTAGGGTTGTATATATACAGCTACACTGATGTAGGGTTGTATATATACAGCTACACTGATGTAGGGTTGTATTTATACAGCTACACTGATGTAGGGTTGTATTTATACAGCTACACTGATGTAGGGTTGTATATATACAGCTACACTGATGTAGGGTTGTATATATACAGCTACACTGATGTAGGGTTGTATATATACAGCTACACTGATGTAGGGTTGTAGATATATACAGCTACACTGATGTAGGGTTGTATTTATACAGGTACACTGATGTAGGGTTGTATATATACAGCTACACCGATGTAGGGTTGTATATATACAGCTAAACTGATGTATGGTTGTATTTATACAGCTACACTGATGTAGGGTTGTATATATACAGCTAAACTGATGTATGGTTGTATTTATACAGCTACACCGATGTAGGGTTGTATATATACAGCTAAACTGATGTATGGTTGTATTTATACAGCTACACTGATGTAGGGTTGTATTTATAAAGCTACACCGATGTAGGGTTGTAGATATACAGCTACACCGATGTAGGGTTGTATATATATACAGCTACACTGATGTAGGGTTGTATTTATACAGCTACACAAATGTATGGTTGTATATATACAGCTACACTGATGTAGGGTTGTATATATACAGTTACACTGATTTAGGGGGTCATATAAACCACCCTGGTGTATAGGGTATATACGTATTACTATTGCACACTCGTCCTTCTACAGACGATTAACAACCACGCACTGGGCATAATAGCAATAAAATATAACATAGTTTTTAATCCGTGGATGAGTCTCATGTCATTTAAGAATGATTAGTGAGACAGAGTTCCAACGCTTAGAAGTAACATGTCAGTATTACTTCATAAAGAATAATCCTCGCACCTACTTTCTGCCTCTACTGACGGACACCTAGTGCTTATCATCGGTTGCACATTGAAGTGGCTAATTAAGCTTGACGAATCCATTACGCAACGTTTGTGAGGATCGCACAATACTTCAACAATCAATCGTGTATAGTGATAGAGGGGAGAGGAAATTATCAGCAATCAATGACGATCGTCAATACTCAAGCACAGTGCCTGCACACCATTATGTGTGTTGCCAAACCCAGAAACTGGTGGATGTCACAGACTTCCAGCCTCATCACCCGAATTCTTCTTTGCCACCGCGGGTGTGACAAGAGGAATTAGCTCAGAGTTGTAGTCAAAGGAAGTTCGAAGTTTCAACATCTTTAATAATCACAAATCACAAATATACAGTACACAAAGAGATAGAAAACGGACATTCTGTCTCAGAGTTGGGGTATTCCAGGAAGCGGTATATCCAGAACGGAGTTTGTCTGTATACAGACTTCCAGGCTGAGGTATCTACATAACGTCATTTTTTATATAGCAGTATAAAATCAACACGTAAACCTAAACATTACAGATATGCGTCAAACGGTGCAAGTTAACCAGATGAATGGTTGTGGACTAACCACGTAACCGACACGACAGGGCCTTAATTACTACAGATGTTGTACAACATAGGATGTACAATACAAGACTAATGAATTAATATATTCAACTTGACACTAACCTAAAACATTTAAAATACACGTTTTGAATTACTGAATAAATATGGATGTACATGTCACGCTGTGACACTTTCAAGCATTTAGTCGAAGGGTAAATTTGTCTTTTATTATTGATTACATACAACAACACCACGAGCGGCACAGCAACTCAAAGGTATTGCAGCCATGAAGGAGAAACACTGATTAAGTTAAATGTCATGTTATCATGAATTCACCTAGTTCAAAAAAGCGACGAACACGTAAAGATTCATTTGAATTAATATATAATTCAAACTTTAATGGATGTCACTTCAGGAACATGAAATACAAACCGAGAATCACATCATCCTACTGTCACATCTGTGTTTCCTCAATGACAGAAGATGAGGTTATTTCGTCCGAACCCTCGACTTCTTGGATGGTATTTGGAATTTTCTTCTTATGGGTCTCTGGTAGGAAGAACGTAGCCACGGCGACTATAACGGTCATGACGCCAAAAACGATGATGGGGGCCGCCTCGGATGTCTGCTCGCCCTGTATTGGGAACAACCTGTGTGAGCCTCATCCATGCACCACGCACCCTTAGGGCATTGCTAGAATTCACGACACGCATGTAACAAATATTTGGACTATCTGAGGTGTGTTTTCCTCATTCTTCTCACACTGCACTCACTGACTCTTGTGACAGCCAGGAAACCAAGCGTACAAGCTTACAATAAACAAACTGATTATTAGACAGAGCTAGTTCCTGTGAACACGCACATTGTGAACTTGGTGTGGTTTTGCCAAAGATGACACTTCAACCTTATTTTAGCACATGAAGATGTTTTCCAGAAAGTGAGAGGACTGTATAATTGCATTCAAATTCAACACTTACCAATCTGTTTATCTGCGGTGCAATCACTCCACCCACACGGGTCCAAAATGCGCACGTCCCCATGCCAATATTCCTTCAATGAAACAAACAAGTTGTGAGTTATAATTAGGTCAGACAAAAATATAGACGCATAATTTACACTCAGCGAGAGTGAGTGAGTTGGATTTAACGCCGCTTTTAACAGTATTCCAGTTACATCACGGCGTGTCAGCTTAATGTGGAAGGAAAGCCCGAAGTGATGCAGGTCTCCGACGTTTACCACTTCGGTGAAACCCACGGGCACGGGTATGGTGCGACAAATCTAGAAACATAATCGTGGCGAATACACTCAGCGAGAAGCAGTGTGATACAACATAAAGCGAAAGTTGTCATTTTGTATCCGATTGTATCAGCTGGAATCTTCAGTGAAGACACGTGCTTAAAATCATGTCCTAAATGGACATCATAAGTTATATAAGAAACAGTATTTGTCAGTGTCACATTGTGTATTATCTTTCTCAGAACTTCTTGTCTTCTCTCAGTTGTCCTGATGACTGTTGGGTATATTTTAGACGTAACAGAAATATACAGCTGAAAGGATCTTCTCACCTGATGACTGTTGGGTATATTTTAGACGTAACAGAAATATACAGCTGAAAGGATCTTCTCACCTGATGACTGTTGGGTATATTTTAGACGTAACAGAAATATACAGCTGAAAGGATCTTCTCACCTGATGACTGTTGGGTATATTTTAGACGTAACAGAAATATACAGCTGAAAGGATCTTCTCACCTGATGACTGTTGGGTATATTTTAGACGTAACAGAAATATACAGCTGAAAGGATCTTCTCACCTGATGACTGTTGGGTATATTTTAGACGTAACAGAAATATACAGCTGAAAGGATCTTCTCACCTGATGACTGTTGGGTATATTTTAGACGTAACAGAAATATACAGCTGAAGATATCTTCGCATCTGATGAATGGTGGGTACACTGTAGACATAGACATTAAATATACAACTAAAGAGATGTTCTCACCTGATGACTGTTGGGTACACTTCAGACGTATAGAGAAATATCAAACTGAAAAGTCCACCCACAGCGAATCGTCCAACAATGGCGAAACCAGTTGATACGAGAGTTAAGTCAACACCAGAATCTAAAATACGAACATACATAATTTGCAGGTGTTGTATATTCATTTAATAATTTCATTTTATTCTATTTAGCAAAATCCAGGATTACGCATAGCCATTACTCCTAGATTGGTCCAAATGTACATCGTGTGTGATACCATCAGTCCAATATGAGCTGTCGACTACAGGCATCACAGGAACAGAAGGTAATAGGATTTCCCGCTGCTTTTAAGATGTACAGACAATGTCAGTCGACATATCAAATTACTAAGAAGTGACCTAGTTTTACATGACAGGATAAGGAAAGTTAATATTTGAAAGGGTTCTGGTTTTCCAGCTTCGATCATCCCCCCTTCTCTCCAACAGCAAATTTTGGACAAGTGTGGCATCTCAAATCGTGATGGACTTTGAATAAATGAGGGTGTAAAACGGAGCAAAAAAAGACCGAAACTGTTTTTTTATCCCGGTGGTTTAAATACCTATGCCATCTCCACAAAATGCATGTTTATCACACAAAACTTGGTGTTTTGCACCAAATCATTTCTGTCTACCGCGGTTGTGTTTGGTATGATGTTTCATGTCACTTGTATCGAGTTTGAACCACCCATAAAATTGTGACAACCATGTGCGTCACGGTAACTTTTGTTGGTGAGTGTATTACCGGGGACCTATTATACAAGTGTGTACCCGTCTCTCCTGAAGGTAACGCCCCAGCTATTATGCACGTCACAGCAGCCAGCAGGGCGAAGGAAATGACCGCAACTCTTCGTTTTATCCTGTAAAGTACAACACATTTAATCCACACACAAATATAAAGTCTCAGAAATAGGCAATATTACTAGGGGAAATGGATGACAGACCTATTGGTGTGTAAACTGACTTCAATGATATCCTAGAGTAGGGTGTAGGGTACACTCATCGATGTGTATGCTGACTTCAATGATATCCCAGAGAAGGATGCAGGCTAAACATATCGGTGTATATGCTGACTTCAATGAAATCCTGTAAAAACAAGTTGGGTAGACCTATCGGTGTGTATGCTGACTTCGAAGATATCCTGTAAAGGCAAGTTGGGTAGACCTATCGGTGTGTGTGCTGACTTCAATGATATCTTGTAAAAGCAAGTTGGGTAGATCTATCGATGTGTATGCTTACTTCAGTGATATCCTGTTAAAGCAAGTTGGGTAGACCTATTGGTGTGTATACTGACTTCAATGATATCCTAGAGATAAGTGTAGGGTACACTTATCAATGTGTATGCTGACTTCAATCATATCCCAGAGTAGGGTGTAGGGTACACTCATCGATGTGTATGCTGACTTCAATGATATCCCAGAGTAGGGTGTAGGGTACACTCATCGATGTGTATGCTGACTTCAATGATATCCAAGAGTAGGGTGTAGGGTACACTCATCGATGTGTATGCTGACTTCAATGATATCCTAGAGATAAGTGTAGGGTACACTCATCGATGTGTATGCTGACTTCAATGATATCCCAGAGAAGGATGTAGGCTAGACATATCAGTGCATATGCTGACCTCAATGATATCTTGTAAAAACAAGCTGAGTAGACCTATCGGTGTATATGCTGACCTCAATAATATCCCATGCCGGATGTAGAGGAGATCTATCGGTGTGTATGCTGACTTCAATGAAATCCTGTAAGAGCAAGTTGGGTAGACCTATCGGTTTGTATGCTGACTTCAATGATATCCTGTAAAAACAAGTTGGGTAGACCTATCGGAGGGTATGCTGACTTCAATGATAGCCAGGAGCAGGATGTAGGGGAGACTTATCGGTGTGTATACTGACTTCAGTGATATCCTGTAAAAACAAGTTGGGTAGACCTATCGGAGGGTATGCTGACTTCAATGATTGCCAGGAGCAGGATGTAGGGGAGACTTATCGGTGTGTATACTGACTTCAGTGATATCCTGTAAAAACAAGTTGGGTAGACCTATCGGAGGGTATGCTGACTTCAATTATAGCCAAGAGCAGGATGTAGGGGAGACTTATCGGTGTGTATACTGACTTCAGTGATATCCTGTAAAAACAAGTTGGGTAGACCTATCGGAGGGTATGCTGACTTCAATTATAGCCAAGAGCAGGATGTAGGGGAGACTTATCGGTGTGTATACTGACTTCAGTGATATCCTGTAAAAACAAGTTGGGCAGACCTATCGGTGTGTATGCTGACTTCAATGATATCCCAGGGAAGGATGTAGGCTAGACATATCGGTGTATATGCTGACTTCAATGATATCCTGTGAAAGCAAGTTGGGTAGACCTACGGTGTGTATGCTGACTTCAATGATATCCTGTAAAAGCAAGTTGGGTAGACGTATCGATATGTATGCCGACTTCAATGATATCCTGTAAAAGCAAGTTGGGTAGACCTATCGGTGTGAATGCTGACTTCAATGATATCCTTTAAAAGAAAGTTGGGTAGATCTATCGGTGTGTATGCTGACTTCAATGATATCCTGTAAAAGCAAGTAGGGTAGACCTATCGGAGGGTATGCTGACTTCAATGATAGCCAAGAGCAGTAGGGGAGACTTATCGGTGCATATACTGGCTTCAGCGCGACTATCCTTAATGTCTTGAAGGAACACTGTTACTCAAATCGTTTATGAGGATTGGCTGTTATCATTTGATTATTAATGCTGAGTCATACATATCCTCACCTCGTTCAACTAATTGCTAATGAAAGGCATTAAGCAATGGCATCATGGCAGCAGCATGGGTCGATATTTACCAGTATTCATAATGCTATCAGTTTTTTAATAATAGTTTACACACCTCGAAAAGGGTATTTTGCTCTATTGACGTAGACATTCGTCTTTGTTAATACTGGACTATTTCATTCCTATGAGGATACCAGTGATGACGCTCCCGAAGGTCGTATGTGAGACATGATCTGAGACATGCATCTACTCAGTGTATCTGTATGTTTGAAGGGAAACATATAATAGTTGATATGTAAAGCCTTTATCTGCATAATACACATTCATGGTAATCAATATAATAATCGTCATTCCTAAATCAGACGATTGTGGTCCTTTTAAAGTTTCAGTTTTAAGATATACGGAGGAATAGTTTGGTATTCTGAATAAAATTTAAATATGAATAACGAAAAACATTGAATCATATACCTTGTTTAAACGTTAAGGGCTATAACTTTTTATCCTTCACAACGCTTGTGACAACAACCCGGTACCATAAGACTAATTAGTCCCACAAAAGAGGCAATTTGTTTCGCAAGTATCCGCGGATTATCCGCAGTAAGTCGGCGTAATGTTTGCGTAGCTACGCAGAAATAACGTTAAAGACCTTTGCGTTGTTGTACACAGATGTAATGCCTAGTTGTGGACTCGCATACCCTGATATGTTGACTTACTTCATCGTGACACAGATGGGATGCCCAGTACTGGACTCGCGTACCCCCTGTTGACTTGCTTCATCGTGACACAGATGGGATGCCCTATGTTGACTTACTTCATCGTGACACAGATTGGATGCCCTATGCTGACTGGCTTCATCGTGACACAGATGGGATGCCCTATGTTGACTTACTTCATCGTGACACAGATGGGATGCCCTATGTTGACTTACTTCATCGTGACACAGATGGGATGCCCTATGTTGACTTACTTCATCGTGACACAGATGGGATGCCCTATGTTGACTTACTTCATCGTGACACAGATGGGATGCTCTATGTTGACTTACTTCATCGTGACACAGATGGGATGCCCTATGTTGACTTGCTTCATCATGACACAGATGGGATGCCCTATGTTGACTTGCTTCATCGTGACACAGATGGGATGCCCTATGTTGACTTACTTCATCGTGACACAGATGGGATGCCCTATGTTGACTTACTTCATCGTGACACAGATGGGATGCCCTATGTTGACTTACTTCATCGTGACACAGATGGGATGCCCTATGTTGACTTACTTCACCATGACATATATGCCTATGATGTAGGCCAGCATTTCGACGCAGCCGCCGATGAAGAAATTGAGATACTTGTTGCCAGCCAGTGATGTGATCTTGAAAGTCAATCCATAGTAACCAACTGCAACGGCAAACCTAGATCCACAAAAACACCATTGGTATCAGATTAATAGGTGATTTAATATATCGTGCGATAAGCAATGTCAACGAAACTCTTCAATCTTGCGAAGAAAGATGATAATTGAGGATCTATTTCTGAACGAGGGATTCGTAGTTACGTATTAGAGACCAATATTTGTCGAATGGTATTTTGTATATTGTATCGTGACACATTTCGTGAACATTTCGTGTGTATTATTTCATACACATCTTATATATTATTTCTAATATTACATCTTGTTCGGAGACATAAAAGTGAGTGAGTGAGTTGGGTTTAATGCCGATTTTAACATTATTCCAGTTATATCATGGCGTATCAGCTTAATGTGGGAGGAAAGCCTGAAGTGATGCAGGTTTCAGACGTTTACCACTTCGGAGAAACCCACGAGCACGGGTATGGTGCTGACAAACCTAGAAATATAATTGGGGAGAACCGGGATTCGAACCTACAATCATAGGTCTCTGGCGTGCCCAAGGGATGCAATTCACAGCGAATCGCGGCGCCTAAGACGACTGGGCCACCCGTGCCCCCGGAGACATAAAAGGTCCAAACGATAATATTTGATCACCATATGTAAAAGAGTAGAATACTTCGCTTCCTCATCTGGGGGGTCTTCAACAGATCTAAGAAGGTGTATTGCTGTTTAGAAGACGCTCCTTTAACTTCTGCCAAAGAACGCACCGAGGCCCACGATTCCTTGGGGAAGTCCTTCCTGTTGAAGGTGGTTACCCTGGAGACGCACTTCTCCGCGTCGGCCAGTCTTCCACGCATTATCATCCACCGCAGGGATTCTGGCATGACGCTGGGGTGCGAAAAAAACGGTGATCCGTTTAAGATTATCTTTATTGCAATTTCATCATTATAACACTTTAAGATGAGAACGTTTGGTGAATCCACATCACTTTCTAGTTATCTACGTAAGAGGCGACTAACGGGATCAAGTGGTCAGGCTCGCTGACTTGGTTGATAAATGTCATCGTATTCCATTTGCGTGGATCGATACTCATGATATCAAACACTTGATTGCCTGGTCCAGACACGATTATTTACAGACCGTCGTCATATAGCTGGAATATTGCTGGTTGCGCCGTTAAACAACAAACAAACAAACGTTCTGTCATTGGTTCCAAATATATGCAGATACTTTTATGAACGTGGAGGCAGGCTAGTTTGCGGTGCGGTCTAAGGTATGGGTTTCCAATGTTGAACAACATTTGATTAACATTGCCCCTGTCGTTCTCACTTTGGTGACACAAACTATTATTTTGTTAAGGTTCTATCAAGGTAAAACATATTGTGACTTTTTAATATTAGATGTTATGGATTGGGCTTGAGTTAGGTGTGGTTATTTATCCTCTCATTGATCCGTTGAATATCAAGATCGAAAAGAAAAACCGGAAATGGCGGCCCCCAAAGAAACCACGACAGGCTTTTGGAATCACTTTTCTTAGTTCACTTTTGGTAAAAAGAAGATCGAAGTGCATATTTTGAAGTGAGTAAGGACAAATTCGTATATGGATGTCAACAATATTTTATGATTTTTAGCCGTTGGCTACATGTTTCTAACTGGTCGACACGTATCCGCCAGTAGTGACAGAAAACTGACGCGACCTCAGGGGAGAGGGGATAGGGCAACGCACCTCAGTCACCCACCATATGTAAAACAGAGCCAGACCGCTTGGAATGCTGATTGCCAGCTGTATGTAGCGCCAGTCACGGACAAGATATGCAATGGCCGCAATTGCAATGACACTTGCTCCCCAGAAACACTCTAGAATCGCCCCAGCTAGAGGTCTATAGGCCGGGACAAACATCTCAGCTACGAGGACATATGTACTTATCTGAAGACCCTGCAAGAGAGTGTACCTATTACAGTTTGGCTGTATTAAATACGACATGCATACGATGTTATGACCGTGGATGATGCGCTCACTCATAGAAACATGTTAATCTTTCTACGTCATCCTGAAAAGAAATCAAATATATGTGGCCCAAACAAATCAATCAACTGTTTTTGGATTATAATTGTTTGAAGTGAGGAGATGACAAATTGAATTGTTTACTTTAAAACATCTGAAATTGGATACCATTTCTTTTAAATATTTAAAGATTGTTATAATTTGTCTCTATAGATGAAAATATTAAAAGATGATAAAATGAGTGTTTTTATTCTGTCCCAACGTATCGCTGATAGGTTAACTATAGATTGGTAGCTAAGCATGGTAAAGTGTTCCCGGTGACCAAATCACAATCAGAAACTTGGAAATAAAAAAGTATATTCAGTGGAACAAGTAACCAGTATGCTCGGCCTATTTAATTTTCACTAAACTTATACGAATGAGCTATTAAGGGGAAGGTTCACTTACACAAACACCAATCAAACATATCCATGTTAAAATATAATGGACCGCCTCCGTGGTCTAGTGATAGAGCGACCGCCCGGCCGCGTCAAACCAAAAGACGTGTAAAGATGGTACTTGATGTTACCCTGTCTGGCGCTCAGCATTGGGGCTAAAACAAGGACTGGTCGGCCCGGAGTCTGTATACTGTGTCCGAGTGGGGTATTCATGTTATACTATGGGCTAGCAAATCGGCATCAGTCCGGACTAGTACAAGCAGACACACACAAACACGCACGCACACACACACACACACACACACACACACACACACACACACACACACACCACTAAGCAAAATGTTGATAAAATACATGATATGATTGTGGATGCTCGACGACTAGCAAATACAGGAGAGTTCTCTCATGACAGAGTAAAGAACATTCCTGGGAATGAACTGGGCATGACAAAGGTTTCCACACGCCGGATTCCAAGACTTCTGACTCCTGACCAGAAACGCTCCGGGTCGTGAGAATCTCGTCGTTTTGAAGCAGACTCAGCTGATTTTGTTGAGCGATTTGTAACCATGGACGAGGCCTGTGTTCAACACTATCAGCCAGAGACTAACCAACAGTCAAAGCAGTGGAAACATCTGACGTCCAACAGCGGGCAAGGTGATGGCTGGTGGATTAAGCCCTCCAAAGGTAAAACCATTAATGGCCTATAGTATTCCGTCTGCCTAGGCGAATATCAAGGCTAAACGTCCGAATGTCAAGGCTAAACGTCATGGAACATCCTCCGTAATCATCAGATTTGGCACCGTCTGATGGCCACTCTTCCTAAACTCGAAGAAAAAACTGTCTCACAAGCTTTATGTAAATGATGGTGAAGTCAGTTCTACTGTGGAGGACCTTTACGTCACCAGGAGGAAGCCTTCAACACCAGTGGAATACAGGTTCCAGGATCGTTGGTAGAGTGTGTGGACTTCGATGGGGATTACGTTGAAAACTATTAAGCAACCAACACCATCAGTTTAGTCCATCATAGTCAGGCTCGGGACTGTTCCGTCACACATCTACCAACATAAAATGCCTTAAATTGATTTGGTTGGTTGGTTGGTTGTTTTACGCCGCACTCAGCAATATTCCAGTTATATGACGGCGATCTGTAAATAATCGAGTCTGGACCAGACAATCCAGTGATTGATATCATGAGCATCGATCCGCGCAATTGGGATCGATGACCTGCATCAACCAGGTCAGCGAGCCTGACCACCCGATCCCGTTAGTCGCCTTTTACGACAAGCACAGTCGCCTTTTACGGCAAGCATGGGTTGCTGAAGACCTATTCTACCCCGGATCTTGACGGGTCGCCTTAAATTGAAACAATTATAAGTGAATATTTACAAAACAAATACATTGAACGTCGTATATAAAAAGACTTCGAGTACCTGTAGAAAGATGCCTTCCACAAATCGGAGACAAACAAACCAGGTGTAGGATGGGACAAAGTGTATTCCAAGACCGATGACCACGGGAGCATACAGAGTGACCAGCATTATGGGTCTGCGGCCAAACCTATCCGACAGGTACCCGAACAGTAGACCTCCCAGCATCACTCCACAGAAATAGACGGTCGTGGCCAGGCTTCTCAGGCTGTCGTCATCGCATACCAAGTCCCACTGTTTATAAAGTAGGTTAATGCTACATTATCAAAACAGAAGATAGAAGTCGAAAACATTGAACTACACAGTTGCCGAACATTTTAAAAGATTTTTAACAGTTTCGCAATTTGAATGGAACTACACTAAAATTACTCCATTTCAATTCGGCAAATCGAAATTAAACAAAAACACAGCGTAGAAACACATTATGTATGCATCTAGCGTAGCAAGTTTAGTATTTAGTTGACATACGAGTTTTCCGGTTGTAGTTTCACAATTGTCATTCTGAATGACATTATCTAATACATGTATACTCTGCAAAAACAAAAGAAACGCAAAAGTAGTAAAACCGTAAATATCTGACAGAATGCAAAAGACGAAATTAATACCAAAAACGAATAGGTCATTTCTGCATGGGTTAGGATTGACTAGCGTGGAAAGAATTAGGTACTGCAGAAATCTTGTGAAAAGATGTGAAAATCGCAAAAACACTTCCACGTGAGAGCCCAGCGCCGAAACACAGCAACATGACATGTAGGTGCAACATTACTTGTTTGGCTATAAAAACCTTAGGTTTTCATTTGCATGCCTTCACAATCTTACAACATGTGAACATCGAAAACATGCCACTGACTGACGGAAGCCCAAAGCAAAAACATCGGCCGTCTGCGAACAGGTGAATCATCTTTGTTTTTTCCACGTAGCACCAAGCACCTTTACAAGACTGTGGGACACACGGGGCAACACGTAACCTTCCCAGATACTGTCGACAACATACCAGAGCACAGGTCAGAATCATACCGCTACGTCATTCATACGGCCACCTCTACAACTTTGGCAATACCAGGATATCAGCCCAGATAGTTTACGCGCTTAAGGTATTCGCGCTAGACGACCAGTTCGAGGTGTTATTTTGACGAACCTACTGTTCCATGAGTGCCATATTTTAACTCGGTCAATGCCAATATATAAAATATACATCTCAAATTACTTTTGCCTTCCTTTTTTTTGCAGAGTAGATATATATAGCTGAGTTAAGTGACGAGGACTAGCCATTTTTGACTGCCATCAACAGCACCATTGGAGGCCAACTTTCAGATTTTCTAGGGTCCAACATGGCATATTGTTGTAAAAATTATTAAATCCTACAAATGCAAATGTGCAGCATTAAAAAACAGTTTACCGTATTAGATTAGCAATGATATACACGCATGTTGACATCAGAATGACGAGCCGTGATATTGCTGGAATATTGCTAAAAGCGGCGTAAACCCATACTCACTCACTCACACTCACTCATCATGTACCTCCGTCCCAATAGTTGTCTCCCTTCCATCGGTGTCATACGTCCATTGGCCAGGCTTACAGCTGAAGGTCAGGTTAACACCATCGTCCAGGAAGAGTTTTGTGTCACACTGCCCAGATTCTTGACCAATAACTGTCTTATTGGTAGAATTATGAATATAGACAGAAATATTTCCTACGGCGTGACAGGTGTGGGTGATCCGAGCGCCAAAAAACGCCATGATAACGTGGTTAAACACCAGTGGACAGTAGTTGAAACAGAGCAGTATGAAGACAAGTATTTGGAATCTTCCCGTTTTCCCCATCTCGTCGATCAGCTCATCCATCTTTATACTCAGAGGGGACACCTTGTCATCTGTGGCTCCAGGCGTCTCCGTGGTGGCCATTTCCAGTGCGTTATGTGTACTACAAAGAAAGTTATATCACAGCATTTCATCTAATATCAGTGAGAATCCACGTGCAGGGGCATGATGCAATCATACCAAGGGGCAGCGGATCCTGGCACCTAACGGTGTTTGTTTGTTTTCTTTCCAGATGATTCAAAAGTGCACAGAGGTACTTACATTTGTTCCTGTTTCACTTGAGTACCTAAACGGATACTACCCAATTACACAACTACAAGTGGTGGACCGACCAAAATCAGGGCGTCAAGTGTCACTGAGCTGATACTACATCACACCCGACCAATATCAGGACGTCAGATGTCACTGAGCTGATACTACATCACATCCGACCAATATCAGGGAGTCAGATGTCACTTAGCTGATACTACATCACATACGACATACATCAGGGCGCCAGATGTCTTAGAGCTGATACTACATCACATACGACATATATCAGGGCGCCAGATGTCACTGAGCTGATACTACATCAAATACGACAAAAAAAAGGGCGCCAGATGTCACGGAGCCGATACTTCATCACATACGACATACATCAGGGCGCAAGATATCTTAGAGCTGATACTACATCAAATACGACATATATCAGGGCGACAGATGTCACTGAGCTGATACTACATCACACCCGACCAATATCAGGGCGTCAGGTGTCACTGACCTGATACTACATCACATCGGACCAATATCAGGGCGTCAAATGTCACTGACCTGATACTACATCACGCCCGACCAATATCAGGGCACCAGATGTCACTGACCTGATACTACATCACACCCGACCAATATCAGGGCGTAAGGTGTCAATGAGCTGATACTACATCACACCCGACAAATATCAGGGGGTCAGATGTCACTGAGCTGATACTACAACACACCTCACAAATATCAGGGCGTCAGATGTCACTTAGCTGATACTACATCACACCTGGCAAATATGAGGGCGTCAGATAACACTGAGCTGATACTACAACACACCTCACAAATATCAGGGCGTCAGATGTCACTGAGCTGATACTACATCACACCTCACAAATATCAGGGCGTCAGATGTCACTTAGCTGATACTACATCACACAAGACCAATATCAGGGCGTCAGATGTCACTGAGCTGATACTACAACACACCTCACAAATATCAGGGCGTCAGATGTCACTGAGCTGATACTACATCACACCTCACAAATATCAGGGCGTCAGATGTCACAGAGCTGAAACTACATCACACAAGACCAATATCAGGGCGTCAGATGTCACTGAGCTGATACTACATCATACCCGACCAGTATCAGGGCGTCAGATAACACTGAGCTGATACTACATCACACCCGACCAATATCAGGGCGTCAGGTGTCACAGAGCTGATACTACATCACACGCAACCAATATCAGGGCGCCAGGTATCAATGAGCTGATACTACATCACACCCGACCAATATCACAGCGCAAGGTGTCACTAAGCTGATAGTACATCACACCCGACCAATATCAGGGCGTCAGATGCCACAGAGCTCAAAAATACATCACACGCGACCAATATCAGGGCGTCAGATGTCACTGAGCTGATACTACATCACACCCGACAAATATCAGGGCGTCAGATAACACTGAGCTAAAACTACATCACACGAGGCCAATATCAGGGCGTCAGATGTCACTCAGCTGATACTACATCATACCCGACCAGTATCAGGGCGTCAGATAACACTGAGCTGATACTACATCACACCCGAACAATATCAGGGCGGCAGATGCCACAGAGCTTAAACTACATCACACGCGACCAATATCAGGGCGTCAGGTGTCACTGAGCTGATACTACATCACACCCGAACAATATCAGGGCACCAGATGTCAAAGAGCTGATACTACATCACACCCGACCAATATCAGGGCGTCAGGTGTCACAGAGCTGATACCACATCACACCCGACCAATATCAGGGAGTCAGGTGTCACTGAGCTGATACTACATCACATCCGACCAGTACCAGGAAAGCAGGCGCCACCGAGCCCTGAGAAGGAGTTGGTAGTGGTGGATGTTTTCGGTAAATAGCTATAGCTGATACCTTTGAAAGATGGATGTTGTAAGGACAAAGCGTTTGAAGACATCTTCAAAGAAGGAAGACAACCCAAGCGAATACGCACTGACCGAGGTCAGTTGAAGACTGCCAAGACCAGCTAGACCTATAGAACCTATATACATGTCACTTACAGACTTACCAGAATTTGAAACAACTGCAGATCTTGCCGACAGTTTAAAACAAGACGTTTCACAGAACCATTGATATGTAGCCATCTAAAGTGACCAAAGACAAGGATACATCGGTCTGGTTGCGAATGTACTGGCTTAAGAAGAATATACACTCAGTGAAGAAGACAGCAGCGAAAGAAATCTTTCCGTTGTAAAGTGTGTGACAGGGTGAGACTGACTGACATGAGGACCCCTTTCCCCACAAAATACCATGAGCGATGGACAGGGGAGAGTTTTACTATTGCCCACAGATTCCACGATGAGGTCTAGTTCTCTACAGAATATGGAGAAGACATACAGAGACGTATCTGTCAGTCGGAACTACAGGAAGTGGATGTGAGGGAGGATGACATGCGGGAAGTTGAGACAGTCCTCAAGACAAGAGGAAGAACCTTATATTGTCAAGTGGCTTCACTGGCCGAAGAACTTAATTCATGGATGAAAGCATCTCCTGCAAATAGTATACCTAATTAATGTTAATTTTGGACTAGGTCCCACACCTTGTGACGACCTGAACGCACGGGGATATTTCAATGTATGTAAGAGCTCTGTACTCGTTTTTATAGCATCTTGTCCATTTTATAAGCGTGAAGCTGGATAATTGTTTGTGTGATCAAATAGCAAATTTCATGTGTCATAAAGAGCCGGTCAACTGATTGCACTTTGCAATATTCCAGCCATATGACGACGGTCTGTAAATGATCGAGAACAGATGACATGCAATCAATTAAGTCATCGAACCTGACCACCCGATCTGGGTAAATTGGGACCAATATTCCCACGGGTTGGTTATTTAGAAATAAGTGAATATTCTTACCGAATATTCGCATGTCATAGACAATGGCGTTACACCAAACAATATGAAAGCACTGTATAGTCGTTTGCGATTCTGCACAAAAATAAACGGCATTTTCGCTGGTGGTGTGGCAGTCAACCAACAGGTGCAGACGCCTACCTACATTGGATCAGGAGCCGTGTTGGTGACAATGTGTCAGTGTTTTGTCATAACCTAGATGCCCACTGTTCAGATACAATGAGTGAGTGAGTTGGGTTTAACGACGCTTTTAACAGTATTCCAGTTATATGACGGCGTGTCAGCTTAATGTAGGAGGAAAGCCTGAAGTGATGCAGGTCTCAGACTTCGTTGAAACCCACGAGCACGGATATGGTGCTGACAAACCTGGAAACATAATCGGGGCGAACCGGGATTCGAACCCACAACCATAGGTTACTGGCGTGCCCGTGGGACGCAATTCTGCACAGCGAATCGCGGCGCCTTAGACGACTGGGCCACCCGTGCCCCCTCAGATACAATGAACTGCTTGCATCGAGTTATTTCATACAAGAGAGCTTTAAACTGTACAATATAAAGCTGTTCACTAAACCAACCACCCGTGAAGATCCGGGCCAGAATATTCGCCTAATCACCCTGTATGATATCCTTTTACTTCCCAGTTTTGTTTTTGAGACCACCCCTACACCTGTTTTATTTTCTTATCATACCATAGACTTGATGGGTATGAAATGAAAACCCCATAACTTGGGCAGTTCGGTTACTCACCCTATCTAAATTAATAAATGGTTTTCCTCTATCTTTCTAAAGTGTAAAGATCATTTTCCAATACAGACTCCATTTAGTGTACCATGGTTATGGCTATGCAAGTGTCATGTAACATGCATCATGGGAGCAATGTTAACAAAAACACGCAGCGTCATCTTGTTATTTTAGAGGATGTACGTCTAGAATTTTCTCAAAATGATTTTGTGTGTGGATTAGATGTTTTATGAAGACTACATTATTATCATTATAACGGAGTCACGTGCGCATATTTCTTTAGTCCCTTTCCAACAGTCATCATTGGACTTAAAATAAATGTGAACTTCCTGTTTTCGTTCGAATTTGTCTCCTGTAAACTTGTTGATAGGACTCTTTGTAACTGAAATACTTCAAACCACAGGTTGGGCGATCGGTAGTTACTCGATATTTCAATAACAACAGTCTGTGAAAAATTATATCCTTTTTTTAACAGTTTTTTAGCATTTCCGACAGTACTTTAGTCAAAACAACAGTGCTCATACAATGCTCGTGTTTACTTACTGTTCACTCTGTGTTGTTGTTCAACCTTAAGGCAAAAACTCCAACAATGCAGGCTGCGAGGAATGAATTTTCCCGTGATGACATAAGCTAAAACCTTCAGTGGTGGAACACTTACTGTGGGAGCCGTATAAAGAGCTCGTATATCTTACTTTGAGGTACATGTTGACACGATGCAATCACTTTAAAAATACAGTGACATATGTTATCGCATTTAATCTTATCGCAACGACACAGTCATCAAGCCTGCGCGCCCGGTGAGACCCGTGAAGATCCGGGGAATAGGTCTTCTGCAACCCATGCTTGCCCTTAAAGGCGACTGTGCTTGTCGTGAGAGGCGACTAACGGGATAGGGTGGTCAGGCTCGCTGACTTGGTTGATGCATGTTAACGATCCCAATTGTCTGGATCGATACTCCTGATATTAATCACTGGATTGTCTGGTCCAGACTCGATTATTTACAGACCGCCGTCATATAGCTGGAATATTGCTGAGTGCGGCGTTAAACAACAAACCAACCAACCAACCCGGCGTATAAGTTGCCTCTTAAAGAGCATAGGTTGCTGGGGATCGAATCGAATCGAATCTGATCGTTGAGTATTGTAAATAAGAACACAAAATGTATTGTTATTATAGTGAGTGAGTGAGTATGGTTTTACGCCGCTACTAGCATTATTCTAGCAATATCGGGGCCGGGAACACTTAAAATGGGCACATTTTATCTATGCGGTGAATCGAACCCGAGTCTTAGGCGTGACGAGGGAGCGCTTTAACCACTAGACCACCCCACCGCCCCTATTGTTATCATCAGTAATTGGGACTTCATGATGATAGCTCTGACAGAAGTCATAAGGTATGTCAAGTTGCTCATATACATCTAAATATCTGCAAAAATGGTCATTGTAGATGAACTTACACGGAAAATGTTTCGAAGGAGGTGCTTGAGGATGGTCTTGACCGATGTAGAGTGATTGAGTCAGTCCCAGGGCCATGAAGTAGATTGAATTTATGATGTACCAATAGTCGGGAAGGCAATTTAGTGTGGTGGTATTTCTACACTTCAGTCAAATACTATTTATACTACACTCTTCAAACTTGGTATGACACTAAAGAAATACCAGAACAGAACTAGTTATCATACCTCCATGTCAGAATGATTAGATCTGGTTGGTCAACGTGATCTTGATAAAAAAACAACTATGTATCCCGCCTTGGAGGGTAATAAATTTCTAAGCGGGGGAATATACTCTTATACCCCCGCCACGAGCAATGCAGGCTGCACGTGGATATCTGAGAGGCAGAATAAAGCCCTTTTCCCCGCTTCAATGCAAAATGCTGCATCAATGGAAGTCACGTGACATAGCACAAGTTAACCACAACTCAAACAGCTGTTTTCTATCAATGTTGAGTTTGTGTTAATTCTTAGACAATGTTCCATTAAAACACTTTGGTAAGACAAATTCGTTGTAGCGGGATCACTCGCGTTACATGGGGTTTTATGCGGCTCGTGGTATACAACCTGACGCTAGACGCATAAAACCCCTGCTAAAACGTATAATATAAAATATTATAATATAATTTCAGAATTCTTCATGATCATTTGAAATTTGTCTGTATAAACTGTAAGCTTGCGACACGTAACTCTGATTATGTGATGTCATCAGTGCCGTACCGTAGCCAGCCAGGGGGGGGGGGGGGGCAGATGCCCACCCCCTGATTTTTTATAGAAAACAATTTTCCTCGTGAAAGTTAACTTGAATAAGAAATGAATAATCTTATTTGCCTCCCCTGTCAAAAAAAAAAATACGGCCTTGGTCATGATGTCACATGACAGCCGACAGAGTGAATAAAAGTGACAAAACCCTTCTATATTCGTAAAAGATATCTGCAAAAAACAGAATCGATTGTACGATTCCGACTATATCATGAGCAAGTGTTTAAGTATCACTATCAAATAGTGATAACAGAAGTTTGCGAAAAGGTGAGCGTATCCTACCCCAACCGTGGCACCCGTCACAAACACAAGGCAAGTCAATTATTCACCTGAAAGAAACACAGGAACATTATAGTACAAGTCAAAATAGGGGTGAGCATGATAGAATCAACCTCAAATGTTGGAGCTGCAGGAATATTGCTGGACATAAAGGGAAAGTTGACTAATGGAAAGTTTAAGTCATCCCTCTGGTCGTACACATCCCTCTTGTCACTCATGGATCTAAATATGAAACAGATGAAGCGGTCTCACTTGTCTCCCTTATTTCTAGTTAAATGGGTAAATCAGTGGAAAGGAATTGGCTATTTGATGGTTACTGAACGATCATCGATATACATGAAACTTTAGTTACACTTCTTGGCCATATTCAGTTGTTTTTACTTTACCAATCGGAGCAAAAATTCTGATTCATGTGCATTAAGAAACAGATCAGCATTGAGATGACCACTTCTTACCTAAATGTCTTACCCCCACATTTTACATTGATGTTATCAATGAGGAAGTCTAGCATTTCACAGTGTTTTCAGTACAAATTTTACAAATTGGCCTGACCCTCTGAAGACAGATTTGTAACTCCATCTGGGTCACCACGTTTTGTAACGAAAGCCCAACGGATCAAGAATTGAAGTTTGTCATGTGGGATAGTGACGTACGAATTTGAAAACTCAAATGTTTTGACAGAATTTAACTTGGTTCTTTTCTGAGATTGCAAAGTCAAGCAGATCCTTTGGGTTTAGGAGAATCTACATGGAATTAATTCCACTTGTCTCAAATACTTTCTGTGAATAGAGAGAAAGTCCTTCCTTGATTAAGGATGATGATTAAACTTTGAGGCAGGGATTTGGTGGTACATTTGCAGGACCCAGCAATATATGTCCCTTTGTACAAACTTTTATGGAGCTTTGGAATCCAGTACAAAAGAGAAATGAACGTCTTAAGCTTTTAGTCAAAAGTTGATAGTGCTGATGCATGTTTGTGTCAGATTTCTTCCTGTGTTTACATACTGGCCTTATATATGTGGCATTATTTGTATGTCTCTTTGACCAAGCTCTTTGATCAAACAATTAATGTAGTGATGCTTATAGAATGTGTGTTTTGAGGCCTTGTCGGTGGGAACAGCTACAAACTTTTCATGTAGAGCAGGCAGAAGTTGGATGACAGGTGGCTGGAACAAAATGGGTTTGTTCAAATTCTGTTTCCTCTTTTTCTCTACCAATGACATCACCCATTGACTTAAACCACTCTGAAAGAAATTGAACAGGTTCTTCTCTTTTGGCCCATTTATTTGCATATACTTCGACCGCATCTATAATGATTTTTAATCTACTGTTGACAAGTGCACCCACACAAGATAATATCTGAACTATGCAGCCCTTCAAATGACCCAAAAGAAAGCAAACGAGGGGCCCTATTTTTCTCACTCTAAGTATCTGAAGTGAAAAACAATTGCCATACAACTTCTCAAATCTACCATTTATGGGATGGTGGATGATAAACCAGTGTACCAGAAAAAACACAGGGACATAATGTGGGAGGTAAATCAGGTTTCATTTGACCAAAACATTCTAAATCCAAATATGTTTATTTCCACAAGTGAGTGAGTGAGTTGGGTTTAACTGCTTTTAACAGTATTACAGTTTTATCATGGCTGTCAGTTTAATGTGGGAGGAAAGCCCGAAGTGATGCAGGTCTCAGACGTTTACCACTTCGGTGAAACCTACGAGCACGGGTATGGTGCTGACAAACCTAGAAACATAATCGGGGGGGGGGGGGGGGGGGGGACCGTGATTCGAACCCACAACCATAGGTTTCATGCGTGCCCAAGTGATGCAACTCTGCACAGCGAATCGCGACGCCTTAGACGACTGGGCCCATTTGTCAATGGGTAGACAATAACTAACCTGAAAATGTCAAGTTGTAGAAAATGTTTTAAACACAAAAGCCTGAGACAACACCTGCAGGGATATTTTTTTGTCATGTGACACCCGACTGAGATCGCTTTTTAACCCTTTTGAGTGTATTCGCAAAAGCAACTGAAAATACAGATGCCTTAAAAGTAATTTTCAAATGATCAAATTCTGAAATCATATCTAGTTATGTTCAGGTACTTCTCAGACCCATGCCAAATTTGAGGTAATGTTGTAGGAATAGTATTTGATTAAACCGTACAAACACACTACATAAAGTAAGACAAGTTCTATGGATGAACAACTTCTTTATCACAATTAGTGCGACGTTTCAGTGTAGATCCTAACACCTTTATCAAGCAAGTGACGCACTAATTGTAATAAAGAAGTTGTTCATCCATATGCTTGATAAAGGAGTTAGGATCTACACCGAAACGTCGCACTAATAGTAATAAAGAAGTTAATTCATCCATAGAACTTGTCTTACTTCATCGCACAAACTTCTAAATTGCCACTGAAAGAAGTCACACTACATAACCTGAAAAATTTTGTTCCATCTTTCATGGGCAAAAAAACCCACTGAAGGCATGAATATTGATCATCAGTTTGTTTGACTAACCGGAATTTAATCAAAACTGACCCATCCTTTGCACCCCCAGTGTGCCCTCAACAAAACAATTTATTGGACCATAATTGCCAGTGCTTTGTATTAAAGTACTAACCAGATCTAAACTGCTGCCCCAACTTAGCAAAGATGTCCCTCATAGTTAAGAGGTTAATAAGTGCATGTCAATTAATACTATACCCCAATCTGTTGCTCCTGCAGAAACACGAGATTACATGAGCTAGGTTCCAGTAGTCACCTATTGCCAGCACTCATCAAATCACGATACAACTGGGTAGTTTCTAATGCATCTCTTTCTCTTAATGTTCTTTCCTACACACCTGTGTTGAACTTTAATTTGTCGAACTTCCAGTTATCTTCAAGTGAAAACTTGGTCTCTACTTATTCCTTCTTTATTCATCATTTTCAGTAGTGTCGAAACCTCGATGAACTCGATCTATTTTCGTGGTCACTTCAACTTTCGAAAGAACAGCGTTTGACTGTATTGTTATTTATTTTTTTCTGCTGATGGTTAAAATACATTCACTTCAGAATCCACGCATCAACACAGAGAAAAGTACCTCCAA